TCCTCCTTCCTCCTCCTCCTCCCGCCGGCCTCGCCTCGCCCCCTCCTCCTCCCTTCTTCAACCCTAATATCTGGGGAGGGCGGCTGCTGGCCCCCGCAGCCCGGGCAGGGGGAAAGGGCCCTTCTCCGGCAACGCAAACGAGCGCTTTTAATTTTTCATGCGGGAACGGGCGTGAAAAATTTCACGTGAAACCTTTTGAGGAGGGACCGGCAGCGCGCGCCGGCGCAGGCGGCTCCGAGGAGGGTGCAAACTGCGTCACCGCAGCTCAGCGCCCCCAGTTTTAGGGTGGGAAAGGAGTATTTTGGGAAAGTGCCGGTGTCTGAGAGGTGGAGAATTAAATTCCTGCAGATCTTCACCCAGGGACTGACGCCAACAGCGGTACGTCCCCACGTCCCCTCCTTGATTCCCCCTGTCGCACCACTCATTGCTGTTTGAAGTATTTTGCTTTTCGTGAAGATTCTCACCGGTGATTTTGTTTCCCGAGTGTTTGACGTCAAACCACCCCCGGGGAATCGGGGAACCGGGACGAGGGGGTTGTCCCAGGGGTGGCAAGGGTCGCACCCGAGCCGCTCACTTCAGTCTCTCACCCCTGCACCGGGGGGGGGGGGGGGGGGTGTCGTGAAAACCGTGTCAAAGGAACCATTTCTCCTTGTACGTTTCTCCCACAGGGTGGAGGATGCTGGCGGCACCGATGGGACGTGCTCAGCCCCGGCGATGCCCAGCGTCATGCTGTAAAGGGAGCCTCCAGCGGGATTTGGGGGCTCTTTAACAGCCCACCGTGGGGGTTTCATCCGCCCTGCAAGCCAGGTGTGTCCCAACGGCAGGTGTGTGCTAGCAAGAGAAAGGGCAAACGTTGGGGTCTCCTCACACGCGGCTTTCCCCGGGTTCAAGCATGGGGACAGCGGGTCCGAACCCCCCGGAGCTTCCGCCCATCTGCCTCCACAGCAGTAGGAGACAGCGGGGACCCACCGGGGGAGACGCTGGTTTCCTACGGCACGTGAGACGTGGGAAGAGTTTCAAAAATCTTTTGTTTCATACCCAAAACCCAAGGGTTTGGCTAGGACGGGGGAGACCTCCGCCAGGCACCGAGCCACCGCTCTGTGACAGCTTCCTGCTGTAACAACCCCCCGGGTGAGACACGGACAGAGCCCAGCTGGAGGAAAAACAAACTGGAAGTTTCAAAGTCCGTCTCTTTTACCGAGCGGCACCCGATTGCTACGGAAAACGAGGGGAAATCCATGATTTGGCTCCTCTGGGCGAGGGGCCGAGGCTGGTCCCACATTGCATCCTCTCCCTTCTTCCACCTGCGCAGCTTTGCCGGCTGGAAATAACCTCCTGGCTCCTCAGGTTACCGTTTCCACCCAGCGTGCCCCCAGTTTATCCCACCTAACCAAAAAGAAAACCCCAGTTTGCGGAAAAAAATAAATAAACCAAGCCCCCAAAATCCCGCGCCAGCATCATTTTCTTCCCCGGAGGAAAGCCGAGCGATTCGGGGATCGGTTTGCACCCCCCGACGCCTGCCATTTCAGCCCGTCCGTCACAAACACGTGGGCTGCGTTGGTGTTTGCTCCCTGGGGGGGGTTTTGGGCCCGGGGGGGGGGGGGGGGAGTGGTATTTCTGCTCTCTATTTTTTTTTTCTGTTGTTGTTGTCTCCCTCCTCTCCTTCTTGGAATAAACTTGATGTCTTGTCTGCCAGCCGACCGGGGGCTGCAGCCAAGCAGAACCCATTAGTGCAGCGCTATAGATTTTCAACCCCATGAAAATGGGCTGCCATTTTAAATAGAGCATCTATTTATTTCGCTCGGCGGCGTGTCCTTTTGCTGTCAAGGAGACAAATTATTCTGGTCCTGTGGTAGAGCTCACGATAACGCGGCGGAAAAGCTTTGAGAACAATTTATATCAAACTGTGGCATACGTCTACCTACGGAAGGGCAGCCCGATACCGGTGGATAGCCCGGAGTAAATCCAAATTTCAGCCCAAATCCCTTCCTAAGGGAGCTTTTTCATTACTTCATTACAGAACAAAGCATCTGGCCCAACCCCTCGTTTCCAAATGCACGTCGCTGAAATATTTAGCGCGACCAGGATGTTTTGCAGCCCGATAACCAGCGTGGAGGGATGCGCGGGGCTGCGTGTGTGTGCCCCGGCCGATGGAGCGATTGCAATTTAACTCCTTTGTAATCAACCTGCATGCTGCTGGATTAATTTAATTCCTTCTGCTGTTCGCCACAGTAAAGCCAGCGCCGGAGGGAGGGGAAAGGGCTTTACACTGAAAAGCCTGCTGGAATAGATGAGGGGTTTCTTGCATTAAGGGCTGCCAGATGCTTAATAAACATTTTTATTATCAGCCCAGCCTTGACTATAAATAACCTTTTATTTTAAGCCGCGTAACGCCAGCCAGCCGCCGGGGATTGCGCTCCCTAAGTTGTCTCGGGCCCGACCGTTTCCAGCGTGCGAGTGGAGCCGTAGGAAATGTGCCGTTTCCTTCCTCGGGCGGCAAAAAAAGGCTTTGGGAGAGGCTCTGGGCTCCCACCGCAGGCTTGTCTCGATAGAAACGCACCCCTGCCCACGCGCAAATCCTGCCTGCCGTGGGTAACGCCTGCACGTTTGCCTGGGCGTGCCCGACGTCTGGGTATGGAGAGATACATATAGAAAATACACAGCTATTCCTTGCTGGCCCTTATTTTGTGAAAGAAAGGGAGCGGATAAGAGGGGTTGGCTGATTCTTAGCTCTTGACCTCCCCGAATAATTCAATCTCCCGTTTTCCCGGCCGTTCTCCGGTCCATGATTTCCAAATCTGCCTGGCAGAAGCCAGAGACCAAGGACCGCGTCTCTGCCGGCCGCCGGCCGGGCGCAGGGATGGGATGCATCCCGGGCTCTCCTCCTAACCTCCATATTTTTTTTTTTTTTTTTTTTTCATCTCCCAACAGGTTTGCAAAGCCTCGGCCGCCTCGAGCGGGGCAAAGGGCCCCGGTAATGCGCGGTGACAACTCCAGCAGCTTCTCCAACCCTGCAGCCTTTGAGCACGTGCGACTCGAGCCCGTCTCTCTCCGGAGCAGACCATAGTTTTGCTCTTAACTCCAGCAAGAGCCAGGTCAGACCTTGATTTTAACCCGGAGCTAAGTCACCCCATTGAAATTCAATTCGGCCGAGCACTGAGGTGCTTAAAATTTGGGTTGTTCCTGGTTTATGCTCCTGCCAGTGGTGTGCCCCTGGTCCTCGCTCCGGCAAGATCCCACTGTGGTATTAAATGTCTCCTCAGACCCATTTTCAGCACCGGAGGAGGGTCCTGCATCCCCCGAGCATCTCATCTCCCCGTGCCCAGCTCCGGTCCCACCTCTGTGTGGGGCAGGAGACCCCCGGGCATCCCCTCGCTGCCCCGGGCATGGCTTTGGGGCTCCCGTTGGGGCCGAGCCCTCCCAAGGCCACCCACGCCGCTGCCACCAGCGCGTGGGTTATTTACGGCCCCCGTAGTCCCGGTTTGGACCCCCTCGATTTGCCCAGCTTCTCCCGACCGTGCGGCTGCCCCATCGCCAGAGGAAAAGCGGGGGGCGCTAG